ATTGGTTGGTAGCAATTGGTGGGCGGCAATTGGTTGGTGACAATTGGCGGGTGGCAATTGGTTGATGACACTTGGTTGATGACAATTGGTTGGTGGCCATTAGTTGGTGGCACTTGGTTGATGACAATTGGTTGGTGGCAATTGGTGGGTGACAATTGGTTGATGACAATTGGTTGGTGGCAAGCTGGAGGCGAGGAGGAGGGAGGCGGAGGAGCGGTTACAACACTCAAAACAAAAAACCCACACGTCAATGCGGGGAAATAAAACACGTTGTGAAAGAGTTCTTTTCTGGCAGCAACTGAGCTGTAGAAATGCGCGGCCTGTTTTGAATTGTTTGTTTGTTTTTCCGTAGCTGTTTGCGGGCGCTGCAAATCAACATTTGCAACATTTTGTAGCTACAGCTAGAGTGGATGTCTTGATGCGGCAGTCGATCGATATAATTTTGGGTAGGCCAACCAACCCCTCCAAGAAAGGTGTAAATAGACACTCTTACATGCTCTCACCTCTTGCGGGGTCTTTTCGTGCATTCTTACAATATTAGTTCTGAAGCAGCACACTTACCAAACAAACATTGCATCAGTTATTGCTTTCCAAAGTTATTGTCAAAGCAGTGCGGTTCATGTCCGTCGGGAGGCCACGACGGCCAAAACTTCCCAAGAAAAGGTTTTTTGGCAACATGAATCGTGTCAGTGTGTCCACACGTCCACATGACAGCCTTATACAGTTATATTATATATATATACATATGCACCGAACCAACGCGACACCATGTCAGAGTATTGGCACGACAGCGTCTCTACGTGATATCACCAAAACAAAATTCTTATATTGTAGGTCAACCAAACTGCCTGGTAGCTTACGGCTGATGACATGTCAGCGTGACAACTAACTCGCCAGCGTGATGACACGTCAGCAGTGACCCATGACAATGTCAGTATCACGACATGAAGCTGCTCCGGAAGTTGAACACCTGCTCCACACTCTCCCTCAGAACTTGCTCCAGAACCTCCTTGCGCTGGAACCTTCTCCGGAACCTGCTCCGGAATTTGTTCCTTAACCACTGTGGAACTTGCAGGCTGGAGTTAGTTTTTGCGATGGAAGCGAGTATTTAGGGGGTGTGGAGGGGAAACTGCCACTTGTGAGAGCACAGCGTAAGCACAACTTGGACTGGACATTTGATAGTGTTTTGATATGTTTGTCGATAATAACCGCAACATCCTTCCAAGCTGTGAAAAGACTAAAGCAACATAAACTAGTTACATTGAAAATCTTGGCAAAGAACGAAATTGGCTTTCCATTGTTGCATCTACTGGTTTTCATGCCCGCCTTCTCAGGTTCGGTTTGGACCACTTCAGTCTCAAGTCAGGGTCGTTTGGACATAATTGATCTTAATTGTTAGATTTTTTTTTGGGTGTATGATTCCTGCGCAACACGTTGCGCAACAAGTGCTGAGTTTGTATGGCGCCCCTCTCTACCCACTTAGGTTGTGCCTTTAGCTCAGTGTATTTCCCGAGCAGTCCTAACAAGATCTAGGTTAACACATGGTGCACAGCCCCATTGGTAAAACGCACAATGGTTGGCTTGATAGTTCCACCATTCATTTTCCACCAGGACATTCCTTGAATCCAGTTTGACGAGCAAGAGAGGATGTACGGACATCCGTTTCACAAGGGGCAGCGCAGCAGAAACAAATTGATCATTGCTAGCGGTATCACATGTCTTGATGTGGACGGTACTGACCTAACGAGAGGAACTTTATCAAGAGCCTAGGTTGTCCGGATGGAGTTTGTAGAATCAATCACGTTCCCCGCCTGATGTTTCAAACATGAAGTTTCGACCTTCAGTTGCTCCTCTAACAACAGTACGCCCTGGGGTCGCTTGGTCGCCGCAGCTTTGCCGGTGCGATTTGCGTGGCAGGCGCCGTAGTTGGTGCTCTCCAAGGGGTCGGATGTACGCCCTGGGGCCGCTTGGTCACCGCAGCTTTGGTGCTCTCCAAGGGGTCGGATGTACGCCCTGGGGACGCTTGGTCGCCGCAGCTTTGCAGGTGTGGTCGCAGGCGCGGTACTTGGTGCTCTCCAACGGGTCGGATGTACGCCCTGGGGTCGCTGGGTCACCGCAGCTCTGCCAATGCGATTTGCCACCAATTGTCAACAACCAATTGCCACCAACCAACTGTCACCAAGCAATTGCCACCAACCAATTGCCACCCACCAATTGCCACCAACCAACTCTCACCAACCAATTGCTAACAACCAAATGTTGCCAACCATTTGTCATCAACCAGCTGTCATCAACCAATTGCCACCCACCAACTCTCACCAACCAATTGCTACCAACTAATTACCACCAACCAATTGTCATCAACCAATTGTCATCAACCATTTGCCACCCACCAATTGTCACCAACAACCTTGCACCAACCAATTGCCACCAACAAGCTGCCACCAACCAATTGTCACCAACAAGCCAACTGCCACCAACAAACTGCCACCAACCAATTGCCACCCACCAATTGTCACCAACCAGTTGCCACCGACCAATTGTCACCAAGCAATTGCCACCAACCCATTGCCACCCATCAATTGCCACCAACCAATTGTCACCAACCAATTGTCACCAACCAATTGCCACCAACCAATTGTCACCAACCAATTGTCATCAACCAATTGCCACCCACCAATTGTCACCAACCAGTTGCCACCAACCAATTGCTACCAACTAATTGCTACCAACTACTATTTGTCACCACCCAATTGTCACCAACCAATTGCTACCAACCAATTGTCATCAACCAATTGTCATCAACCAATTGCCGCCAACCATTTGTCACTAACAAACTTCCACCAACCAATTGCCACCAACCAATTGCCACCAACAAACTGCCACCAACCAATTGTCAGCTCCTGTGTCTGGTGAAGTTGTCAACATGTGGGGTTATCCGGTCCTATAATTTTCCTAATGTGTGCGCTCGTCCACTCTCATTCTAACATGGAAATAGGACAGCATTTTGTTCCCTGAAACCTATGGAATTTAGAAGTCTTGAAATAGGAACGCAAATGTGGATTTTATTGGCTGGCCGTTGCTTACACATATTTGTATAGCATACGTACACATCACATATACATATATTGCATTGCATTGCATTACATTGCATTACATTGCGGCGTACATGCATGCATCCATCCATCCATCCATCCATACATCTACTGTATTCTATGCATGCGACCCCGCGCAACACACGCACAGACAAATCACCGCGTGTTCTGTATCACCTGCTCACTTTGAAGCCCCTGCGTCATGGAGTTGATATTTGCATGTGAAGACAAACTTCATTCCTTCAAGGAACCGCCTATTTGGAACAACACTTCTCAGAACCGTAAAGAATAGACACTACGAGCGCAGTAAGTTACACCCTCGTTTGTAGAACAAGGCCCTCATGCTCAGGTATATGTGTACATGTGATTGTACCCAAATTTGGAGGAGATTTTATGCGCAAGAGGGTCTTCTGTGGATGTGTTTGTGTATTCCAGAAGTGAGAGTGTGCGTGCGCGCAACCATACCGGAAAAAGAGTAAAACCATGTATAGCCTAAATGGTTGAAGATGTTGAAGTAGGTGTCCTGGATAGTTGTGGGTGGGTGTGTTACAATGGCAATGAGGATAACTAACATTCTTCGAGCGAAGCTCAACGTTGTAGATTTCATGTTGATATCAGAACTTGTTCATCTCCAAAGCCTGTGCGGTCAGATGGGCTCCTGATGCCGAGTTGCGCTTGTATGCGGTATTGGACATACAGAAGCGCAAACTAATCTAGGCCAAATTTGGCTTAACAGTCAATGCTGCAAATGAGGAAGACAGGTGAATCTCCTTTGCATACCACAGATGGACACCGACAAATAGAGCGTTGTCGTGGGTGCCGCAAATGAACAAGCAGCTAGTTCATGCATTTCTCTTGAAATTGATGAGATAGAATCGGAAAACTCACATCAGCAATATGCAGTGGCAAAATTGCATTGTTGTGTTTTTGCAAGAGTGCTCAGTGCTCCTTTCAAATGCGCGAGCCTCTTCCATGTGCTGTCCAAGCATAGCAGCACGGCAATACGTCAGCTTAGCACATGTGCCCACATATGTGCAAGTATGACAACGCAAAGAGCACGCCCGCATGTCAGCACGACACTGTGCCCTGACTTCAGCATCTGAGCGTGACAGCGTGTTCGTTGCGCCTCCGCTTTGCCTCCACCCCTGTGTTTTGGTGAGGCAATTTCCAATGCGCATTATTGCTTTCAAATCTATGTTGTGTAGTTTTTCTCTCTGTGGGCTCTAAGCCTCCCACCACAATGCATAAATTCAAAATAAACGTATAGACTTCCTACCAACTCGCGATCGATCCATCCTCGCACCTCAGGGTCCTTCCACATAGGTGGGGTACCCGAGGTATGCTATGTAAAGAAAACAGCTAAGATACAAAAACATGCCCTCCACCAAGAGTGTAAGTGGGGTAAGCGGCGCCTCACACAAAGGTGAGTTAGGAATCGGGCAACATGCTCAATCCTTCAAGACGAAATCGAAATGGTATGCAAAGGTTGCTTTGAGCGAATGCATTTCTTGACCCTTTGATAGAGGTTCTGACTCTTATCAAAGGGGAGCGGTGCATAAGGCGGAGTGCATTCAACATGTTTAGATGAAACCAAAGGCATTTCAAGTCGGACATTCAGTGGATAAGGTTGGTTGGCAAGAGATGAGTAGTTCGAAATATTTTCTATGAGCAAAGCTGCATCTGGGAAGGAAGGACGCGAAGAGATCCCACCAATCAACCGTGGGTGATATCCCAAGCGAAGCAAAGACGAGGCCCAGTCTTTTTATATCTTGGATATAGCTGACACTGCAAAGTATTCTCAAGATAGCGAACCACCGCCCGCAAAATATTGGCTTGATGCCAAATACTTCGAACTTCAGGTTTTTGGATTTTGGCTTCGGGTGAGTCAAAAGCAGCCAACAAAGCATGCTTTTGCACCCTGGAAAATCCAGATAGGCAAAGACGATCCAAAGTAGACTGCATAATACATGGCCAATTCACACCAGGTGATACCATAATCATCTGGGCGCCTATGGAGTTCTGGATTGCGCCAAGTCAAAGACCGAAACAAATGGCATACCTTGAAAGCCACATCGGCCCTGATGGACAAGCTTGAGCACATATCTCTAGCAATCTATGTTGTTTAGTTTTTTCTCTCTGTGGGCTCTAAGCCTCCCACCACAATGCATAAATTATACTATAGACTTCCAAAAATGTCTCGGACCCACAGGATAGACCAATGTCTCGTACCTCTCCTTGAAAGGCGGCCATCATTCCCTGCCACCCAGCGACAAGATCGGCTCAAGGTTTTCCACTCTCTGGGGTTGATTGCAGGAGCGCCGGTCCCCAAGGCCAAGGTTTCCATGACCGCCATAGCCTCATCGCATTGGACATTTGGATGCTCGGCAAATGGACCACGCGTCAAAGTGCGTTCGGTGCCGTCTCAAGTCATAGATAGTAATGGGAGTGGGGCGAAGGACGCAAACCCATTGGCAAACAATGCTTGGTCTTCGCATTTGCCTACAGGCATGTGCGGCATGGGCAGGGGTCAATACATAGAATGAGAAGATCTTCCTATGCTGTTACTGAACGGACCCGTGTTTGTTATTCACAATGTTCCTGCAAATTCTACGGTTCCAACTCCACACTACACATACTCTTGTGATACTTGTGTCCAAAATACCCCACATCAGCAGTTCCCCTCCACGGCCGACTGCACCAGCATAGAGGGATCCCAAGGAGAGGCTCTGCATTCCATCACAAACTAGGCCCGGAGAAGGCAGACTCCTCAGTGTTACAAAATGTTAGACAACACAAACTCCTCAGTGCCAAAGGTGCGATATCTTGCGAATGTATGTTTCTTCTTTCGCACAGTGCTTCAATTCTCTTTTGGCAAAGTCTTGAAGGCTTCTTGTCGTGGGGCCAGGCTGTGCTTCTGCGTTTCCAGTCACAAGGCCCTCACTGTGCCGTAGTACCTTGCCCAAGCCTGGGTCTAGTTTGCATCCCGAGTGTGGAAAGTAGAAGGAATGCTCAAGTGCATGGTTGGCAGTTTCCAACAAATTGTGTGCGCACTGCCTGCCTGCCGTGCCCGTTTGAACCCCAGGTGAAGAGGTTCCCATCCTCCAAGATCACAGCAGAATATTGGTCCTTGCCAGTGGGAAAGGCCAGGCTGAAAGGCCAAGCTTGGAACTTGGCAATTGATGGCGTACTGAGAAAAAACACTGAGACAACACTAACACCATCTATGGCAAATGAACTCGACTCCATTCCTCACAATCCACAAAGGTGACCGGGCCAGGCAAAACAACCTCCGTGGGGACGCTGCTGTTAGCCTCGGGAAAACACAAACGATTCTGTATCAGCACGTGCACTCCTCTCTCTCCTGCGCAACATAAGGAAGCCGTCTGATCTCAAAAACGGTTGTGTCACACACGGTCAATGACTGGAGCTTTGGGCTGCCCGGCAGATTTCCCTTCGAAGTGCCCGCGCCCTAGCCTTAAACAAGCGGAGGACATGACAAAACTGAACCTCAACTAGACCACAGGCGGCGTTAGTAGCATGCTCGCAACAAAAAACAAGATGGAACCCACGAACCCGAATGCAAACACGATCGAAA